GAACTACTCCCCTCCTCATAAGCATGCCTCTAGTACTTTCACACTAAGTCCTTCACTAACGTTAACTTGCCTTCATATCCTTGTGGTTAGCCCACGGTATTCATTTTCTCCAAGTAAACAGATTACCAAGATAAAATTTTTCAGAAATATCTACTAAAGTCAACATCTTAGAATCACAGATCAGAGAACAGTTAGGATTGGAAAGGACCTTAAGATCATCTAGTTCCAACCCCCTGCCATGGGCAGAGACACCTCACACTAAACCGTATCACCCAAGGCCTCATCCAGCCTGGTCTTGAACTCTGCCAGGGACGGAGCAGTCACAACCTCCTTGGGCAACCTATTCCAGTGCCTCACCACCCTAACAGGAAAGAATTTCCTCCTTATATCCAATCTAAACTTCCCCTGTTTAAGTTTTAACCCATTACCCCTTGTCCTGTCACTACAGTCTCTAATGAAGAGTCCCTCCCCAGCATCCCTATAGGCCCCCTTCAGATACTGGAAGGCTGCCATGAGATCTCCATGCAGCCTTCTCTTCTCCAGGCTGAACAGCCCCAACTTTCTCAGCCTGTCTTCATACGGGAGGTGCTCCAGTCCCCTGATCATCCTCGTGGCCCTCCTCTGGACTTGTTCCAACAGTTCCATGTCCTTTTTATGTTGAGGACACCAGAACTGCACACAATACTCCAGATGAGGTCTCACGAGAGCATAGTAGAGGGGCAGGATCACCTCCTTCCACCTGCTGGTCATGCTCCTTTTGATGCAGCCCAGGATACAGTTGGCTTTCTGGGCTGCAAGTGCACGCTGCCTGCTCATGTTCATTTTCTCATTGACCAACACCCCCAAGTCCTCCGCAGGGCTGCTCTGAATCTCTTCTCTGCCCAACCTGTAGCTGTGCCTGGGATTGCTCCGACCCAGGTGTAGGACCTTGCACTTGGCATGGTTAAACTTCATGAGGTTGGCATCAGCCCACCTCACAAGCGTGTCAAGGTCCCTCTGGATGGCATTCCTTCCCTCCAGCGTATCAACCGAACCACACAGCTTGGTGTCATCGGCAAACTTGCTGAGGGCGCACTCAATCCCGCTGTCCATGTCAGCGACGAAGATGTTAAACAAGACCGGTCCCAACACCGATCCCTGAGGGACACCACTCGTTACTGGCCTCCAGCTGGACACTGAGCCACTGACCACAACTCTTTGTGTGCGGCCATCCAGCCAGTTCTTTATCCACCGAGCAGTCCATCCATCTCGCTGGCTTATTGTTAAACTTGGCATGTTCTGACCAGCTTTATGTTCTCTCAACACAAAGAAAAAAAAAAATGTAAAAAATGGAGGCAAGAAATAAGAGAATCACACCAAACCTCTACACAAAGCATATAGAGTTTTTCCTTTTTTTTTCAGGGCAACTGCCTAACTTGAGGCCATAGAATGATATAATCAAGAAATGGTTTGGGTTGGAAGGAACCTTAAAAGTCATCCAGTTCCAACTCCCCTGCCTTCGGCAGGGACACCTTCACTTACACCGGGCTTCTCCAAGCCCCATTCAGGCTGGCCTTGAACACTGCCAGGGATGGACCAGCCTTCCCAGCTTTCCCAGCTTCTTTGGGAAACCTGTGCCAGGGCATCACCACCCTCACAGGGGAGAGTTTCCTCCTAATACCTCAGCTAAATCTCCCTTCTCCCAGTTTAAAGCTATTCCCTCTTGTCCTATGCCTAACTGCCCTTGCAAAGTCCCTCTCCAGATTTCTGTTTCGCCCCTTTAGGCACTGGAAGCTGCTCTAAGGTGTCCCCTGAGCCTTCTCTTCTCCAAGCTGAACAAGCCCAGCTCTCTCAGCCTGTCTCCATAGGAGAGGTGCTCCAGCTCTCTGATCAGCTTTGTGGCTTCATCTGGACTCACTTCAACAGGTCCATGTCCTTATGTTGGGGACACCAGAGCTGAACAGAGAGTAGAGGGGAAGAATCACTTCCTTCAACCTGCTGGTCATGCTCCTTTTGATGCGGCACAGGACACGGCTGTTTTCTGGGCTGAATGCGCACACTGCCGTGTCACATTGAGCTTCTCATCAACCCATACACCTGACCTGTCTCCTCAAGGCTGCTTTCAATCCAGTCTCTGCCCAGCCTCTGTTTGTGCCTGGGACTGCCTCAACCTAGTGTAGGACCTTACATTTGGCCTTGTTGAACTTTGTAAGGCTGGCACTGTCCCACTTCTCCAGGTCCCTCTGGAACCTATCCCTTCCCTCCAGCATGTCTAAAGCACCACAGAGCTTGGTGTCACTGGCAAACTTGCTGGGGGTGCAGTAGTCACCAGTCTTCACTTGGACATTGACCCACTGACCACAACTCTCTGAGTCACCTACCACTATCACTCATCACTTTTTCCTAGTTTCACTGTTGCTATCTTTGGTGCAGGTTTGGCTGCCATACTTACCTCTAGTGTCTCTCCTGCTGTGGTGGGTCTTTCAACATTCAGCACTCACAAAATATCTCCAGCAGACATTCCTTAACATCCAAAGCTTACTAGAACCTACTAAGGGAATGTGCAAGTGTAGTCCACCAACTTCTTAAGTCTTTAAGGTAGACTTCCTTGCTCATACTTAACCTGCTCAAGCAGAAAAACAAGAGGATGTATCCTGGGCATGGATTACAAGCAATAGAAGAGAAAGGCCAATGAACAACTAAAATTGTCCTGGGTTAGGAACAAAGTCAAAGATGTAAAAAGTTGCATTCTTACATACTACAGAATCAGATTTCCTTCTGCTTTACATCCTCATCACTGAACAGAAGGGACGGGGACAGCATAAAAGGATGCTTTCATTTTACAGAAGCAAAACGTAAGAACTAAACTTTGTTTCAAGTGACATTTCCCAGGAAAACAGAAGTGAAAAACAGAGTTCTTCCCTGAGCGACTAAAAGATGTGTTTCTTAAGGTGGCAAAAAAGAGGATTAATGTAAGTATAACATAAGGCAATCCAGCTTCTCACTAGAAACATCAAAGCTTCCCCACTTCCATACTGCGGTGAAGGACGAAGTAAAAGAGGAGGCAGATAACATTTAAGATAGAGGCAATGCAGAGTTCTGGCATGTCTCTAACCTGGCAGAACGAATCACTTTATAGTACTACAACTGAATCCACAATGAGTAAGTGAAGTTCTGCACAATACCAAATCAAGTATCGTAGAATCGTGAGCCAAACATGTCAGATTTCAGAAACACAAATATGGTGTAGAAGGAGTATAGAGGAATTATATCGTGCACAGAGTCAGGACGGACAACACAGCAGACACAAGAAAAGCCGCACACTTACAGAAAAGAAGTTACATAACATAAAGGTGTTTCACTCTACAAAGCAAAACCACTGCTCAAGTCCTGTTACCTCCTTTCTCACAGTTCATTGTAACCACTGCTTCCATGGCCAGTTTCAGGCTATAAAGTAGTGAAACAGATGTACCACATAAAACTATTTTTTCTACTTTCTCTGAAGAGAATTTTCTCAATTATAACTCAGAAATTACCTGAATTTATACACTTACTGTAACACAATTCTTCTACAATTATAGTATCTTCCCAAAGGGTTAATTATAGAGGTGGCATTTGTTAATGAACCAAATAAAGAGGGGAAAAAGTCTACATGTCACTTTGAGAAATACCAAAGCAAAAAAGTTTTCACTTAGTAATAAAAATAGTGATCCACATACCACTAAGTACTTTGGATAGGCAAAAGATCCTGTTGCTAGGATGTGAACAGACCACAGCAAGGTGTCAATGTTGGTTAAATAAACAAAAAAAAAAAAAATGCAAACTGGTAGGAAAGACCTCATTACTGATATAGCAGCAATCTCTTTAAAAAAAAAAATTCTTATTTGGACATGAAAATGGTGATTTCAATACATTTTGCCACAATTACCTATATCAACATTTGTATGCCTGTTCCAGGACAAAAACTGACCTCTTGAAATCTCTATTTAAATTAATAATTTAGAAAAGAAGCATACCACCTTTGGCCAAAAATTGATAGGTACCACCTATATATGCCTTTTCCTTAAAAAGTCAAATATGGATAAAACCAAAGCTTTAAATATTTTTGCTTTAGAGTTTTACTTACTATAAGAAATACTACAATTCAAAAATATCTTGAAGGGGGAATGTCTATATGTATGCATTAGCTGTAAGTGTATGTGACATCACCATGAGCAATTGTTCTTATGAATTAATGCAATGGTTTGTTCAACCCTGTGGAAAACATTTAAAGAACTAAAATGAACCAAATAAACCTATGAATAATACAATATTGTTTTTAAAATGTGTAATTATGAAGAAAAAATCTGACACCAAATATGCAAAACAGGTGCTTATTGCATAGATATACTTCTGCTGCTATAAAAGCAAGATATGGAGATGAAAATATTTTTACCTCATTCTGAAATGCAGTCAATGCTGCTAGAGTACATTCAATATAAATGCAAACAAAACTTACCAGATTTAAAAACAATACCTTTGTTGCTATGCACTGAGACAATACTCCGTAAAACAGTTTGTTTTCCATGTAGTAGACAAATCCAGCCAGTACAATTATTTTCCTGTATGTGAATAGTAAAATCAAAGGGTTTATTTTCCCATTAAGAAATGTGTTTGGTGTGAGAATTCTGGGTTTTACAATACCCCCATAAAGCCTTCAGTTTAAAGGTTTGTTCTAGAAACTTTGAACTGAAACATAGGGTTTTGCCATTAATAACTACTACACTACAAATGGCTAAAGCGCAGTTATGGGTGGAAAAGTGGGTGGAAGAAGAAGTACAGTACAACAGCTCAATTAGGAAAAAGAGATTTAGTGCACTTTGCTCATTTTTACCCAACACGCTACATTGCCTTTTTGAATACAAAGTGGACGCAAGGATTTCCATTGTAACAAAGAAATGACCTGGCAAGCAAAACGCTGCGTCAAGCTGCCCATTTTTTCTTACAGACTTGGAAATTTGAAACAAAAGCTTTGCAAGACATTGCACAGCTCTTCAGTTTTATTATTAAACGTAAAAGTCTGCTTTGTTACATTGTCACACAGCTAGTCAGAAATGCTTCAGTGATGAAGGTCAATACTGGCTCAATCCAAGCCCTCAATCTACAGCATTTGCTTACAAAGAAATTACAGTAATGTTCCCAACCCAACATTTCTTGCTTTCTTCAGAGAAAAGTTACAACAATTTTTCTCTAGTGTGTATTATAAATCAGAAAATCTTTCTGGACAATATAACCCCAAACTTTCATGAGATCAAAACCAGCTTCTGCAGATGTTACAGAAATCTTCACATATCATCATCATCTGATGTATCACTGCTGCTCGTCTCTGAATCCTCATTCTCCAGAGCAGGTTTGAAAGTGCTGGTTTTCCAGGGACTAAATTTAAAATCACGGATGAGACTATTTTTCAAAATGCCAGTTTTCCGAAGACCATTTTTTCGTAACTGAAATGAGAAAACAAGTTGTGTACAGAGAAAGAAAAAGCTAAACACAACAACCTGCTGCATTTCAACATTCCAAATGCTCTAATTAATAAGTCTGTGGTAGACTTACAGAAATATCAACTATTCTTATTTAATACCACGTAAGGTTCCCTCTTCCAGCTCCTCCTGACTTACTCATTCAGGTATATACAACACTCCTAACTAAAATAAAACAAAAAATCAAGTCTAGGCTGCCTTTTCAGACTTTGTTACTACTGAATTAAATGTCTGATTTCCAGAGACAATTCAGATTTGGAGACCCAAGGACATGGCATAAAAACCTGGGAAGAAAATTCCCTCTCCTCAGGCTAAGCTGAGGAGCTAGAAAGCCTGAGCTACTCTATCAGCTCCAATTCTGAAACTACTCGGAAGCAATGCTCCTTTACCCTCCTTTCCCTCATACTCAGAGAATAGGCCTTACCGACAATAAGCACTGGTCCCCTATCTTTTTAAAGCAATTACTCTTCCAAAAGGACAATACTGAAACAGCAACATCCGTAACCATCAAAATTACTGCAGATCCTCCTCAAAGACAGGAATTTAGGGTAGCCAATTACAAGTTTATAAGGGAACATTACTGTTACCTGTTCACTAATGACACGGAACTCTCTCATCTCATCCTCTGTTAGCGGAGCATATGCTTCATCATTTTCACCGTCTTCCTGCCAGCCCATCTCCTTTAACAACCTTTAAATTAAAAAGGAAAAGTGAGGAACCTGCTACACACACTTGGACATTTCAAGCTGCGCCTACATATCTGTGTGAAGATCTGTAATAAATGGATTAATCAGTCCATAGCGTTTTTTGAACAAATGCTTACTTAAAGATAGGTCAAAAAGCTTACGAAAGATAAATAAGGCATAAAAGTTGAGAAATTCTCAGGTCTTTCACAGACCACCCTGCTTTACCACTACAAGGGGTAAAAACTGTACTTTTATTCCCAAGCAGAGATCTGTGTCAGGTGGAAAATTAAGAATGCATTTGCTTTGTATAACTGCTCTGGTGGAGCAAGTGGCTACATGACACTTAGTTACCAAATGGGTTTAAACCATGACACGATGAAAAGAAAGAAGAGACAGATTCCTCTCACAACTAAGTTTTAAGATATCCAAAGGTGCAACAATCAACATGGTTTAGCTAGTGCCAAAGTGCGACAGCAGTATCTGAACAGGAAGAGAGTGGTTTTACATGTGAAGCAGCTGTAAAAATAGGGGTTATATGAGAATGAAGACACCATGACATTTAACAACAAAGACAGTAAGTTCTCTTGCTGCAAAGTTTTTGCAAAAAGGATCAGCACATTTTTCAGGCAAGCCATGCACCTTTGACCTTATATGGTGAGAGAAATTAAAGCTATTTCATAGAAAATAAAGATGTTTCATAGTAAAAGTCTGGAACTGTAGAAGGGAGAAACAGAAAAAAACATTACTCTGTTAAACGAAAAAAACAAACCAAACCAAACAAGAAAAAAAGTACAGAAATGGAAATTATATTCTCTGTAGTATTTGGGCCAAATTGGACAATGTGACAGCCAGGAGCAACTAAATCCTCAGGAAGCAGCAGAAATAATATGCAAGTCATCCAAAACTCTCTTTCAAGTGAATGCACGCATTTGTGTAGACATACAGAAAAAGACTCACAATGCCAAATTCAGTTCAATGATACTTACTTTTTGGCAACAGCAATTTGATTTAGAAAATTTTACTGGAGCAAGATAAAATGTTAAAAATATTATGTAAAATAAAGTGAACAGCCACAGAGCTGCTGTTAATGTAAATTAAACTTAAGGCAATGGCTAATTAACATTTAAGCAATGCTGTCTAAAGTTAGCAGGGCCACTGTTCTTTTAAAACAATACAAGACTTCTAGAATGGTTAAAAGGGTGAACTACATGAAAAAATTAAACTTCAGATTAGCAAATTTGACACCAACAGGATGGCTGCATTGTGGCAACTTCCCCAGCAGAAGGAAAGCCCAAGATATATTTTGTACAAGACACACCAATACTGTTACTAGGTATGCACAAGTATCCCGTTGAGTTAACCTGGCCACTTCAAGTTAAATTTACTACAAAAAGGCTTACCACCTAACATCTGTCTACATGTATGCAGAAGTCACAGCCAAAGGGCTGGGACATTACAGAGATACACCCTTTCTGGTATACCACAAAAGACAGACGTGCACGGAAACCCTATGAAGGCCGTTCAAATAACCTGAATTGAAAAATGAGAGTTAGACTGGATTCCTATCTTCTAGTAAAAAAGTCAGCAGCAGCAGCCTCTAGTGGTCAAAGATTTCTGTTCCCACAGCCAATGGTGGAAAATAGGAACAAAACAAGGTGCGTTTCATTTTCCATACTCATGAGGGATAAGAGGTCATGAAATGTTCCTCTGCAGGTACTGAAAATATGAAAGTTCTCTAGTCCAATGTAGACCTATATCACTATAAACAAACAAAATAACTGCAATTCTGTAGTTGCCAGAAAGAGCAGGAATCTGACAGAGCTCATAACAAGCATTATCTCCAGACTGAGCTGTGATTTCCAAGCTAGTCATCTCCACCAGCTGCTACTGCAGTTACTTTTCTGAGATACCAGAACTACTTCAACCCCTTTTTGAAGTTACTTTCTCCTTTTCCAGTACATTATCTTGTGTATCACTGCCAGCTAGTCAGCTACAGAAATGATTAACAAGGAAAAACTCACTGAAGTTTCTTTTTTACATCAGATGCAGCCATTGAAAGATTATTAATATAAATAGCAGTTACATGCATTGCTCCTCATAGACATGCAGACCAAAATCAGAGGGATGAACTCACTATGCAGTTTATCTCTTTATAAGGAAATACACTGAATTTTTAGTAAAGCAAGTTTAAATCAGCACTCAAGTCTAGTGGAAATGAAGTATATTGCACATTACATTAGTACATGTCTAAAAATTAAACTTTGGCAGTGCTCATTAAATATTTTATGTGTTCTCAGTTTTCAGATTCTGACTTAACGAGTAAGAATTTATGACATGCTCACTTACCATGAAGGAACTCTCCATCTTATATAAAGTACATACCTATGCTCTCCATATTATATAAAGTACATACCTATGCTCTGCCTCAAGTGAGCTTGAAAGAGCATCTGCCTGAGGGAAAGCTGAAGACTGAATGATCTGTTGAGATGTAACTGAAGCGCTGGCATTCTCCTCTGGAATTTCATTTCCAAAGTTTCTGTTTATATCTCTTTCATGAGGAGGACTGTTGCTGTTATGCAAGTCAAAGGACTCATCATTCTGTCAAAAAATAATTACATATTGCAAATTTTAAAGGAAATTCTGTTCACAAGTTAACATCTGCAAGTGCTGCAATTCAGTGATTCCATTTAAGTTCAGTTTAAATGGAGACACTCTATACTACCTCTGTGGTAATCCTGTTCATACTTTTACAGTTTGCAATACCTGAATACAACATAAATCTGAAGTTATTCCACTGAAAAAGTAACATGGAAAGTAACTCCCATGCTCTGCCTCAATTTTTTTTCCATTAAGTTTCAAATGTATCTTAAAATTCAAACTTATTTAAGCTGCCTTTCATACTCACCAAAATAACAGGCTATCTATCTGTGAACTTGCAAACAATGTTCCTAATTAGGTATCAGAAATGTGTGTCAGGAGGAGTTTGAAAGCATTAAAGTTGTGAAACCTACTTAGTGTATAGGACAGGTGACAGTCATTCAATCAGCAAATTCACCTGCCACACATTCAGGAAGACAGGGTACTGCTCCTTAAATTCAGACAACTTCCCCTACACACATGTATTCACCACAGCTTCCCAGTTACAGCAACTGTAACTTAGTAGCCACAAAATAAGAATTATTAAGAAAGTTTATTTAGAAACAGATTGTTCAGAAAACAGATTGTTCAGGTTCACTCAAACATTAAAAGCTCTTTAATCCTATAAACCAGTGATGATTCTTTTAATTCTACTCATTCAGCAACCTGTAATTCTTATTTAATGCAATGAGCCAAATAGCCTCATAAGTCCTACCAACTATAAAAACAGAAAGGAGAGTATAATGATTACCTAGTTAACATCTTTTTGACAACAAAATCCCTAACGTGGGCATATGACAGCACTATCCACAGAAGGTGGCAATCACTCAGTCAGCCAGTTCTGCACTTGCAAGAAAGCATACTTCAGAATTCAGGATCAACACCATCACTAACATTTCTTTCCCACTCCAGAAATTCTAGAATCCTCAGCAAGAAATTCTTAAGAACAAGTATCACAATAGACATATATTCAGCTGTTAAATCACATGCCTGAAGAATGGATCTCAGATTCTCAAACAAAACTTACAAAAATTATAAACAATTTCAATGCACATAGGGCAAAAAATAGCTTCTTCCAAGTATGATTCAGCTACTGATTATGATTTGCCTTATTTCAGAGGTGAAATCTGTTACTGCAGGCCTTAAAATTCTATCAAGAAGATGACGTAAGACTGTTATCCACTCAGTTGCACACTGTCTTCTACTGACGATCATGAAAATGAATGTTGAAAGTAGGACAACTATCAGATGACTGACTTAACATCTTTCCACACCTGCTAGTCTGATAACTATGCTTACAGCTTGTTAGTGGCTGGTAGCACTGATACAAATATTCTCTGCTGACAGCTGAGTACCCAATAAAGAGATCCAGATTGAAAGAAACCTGACAAATATTATATACTGACAGAACAGGCCTCCCGAGTTCTCAATTAGTAAATAAACCCAGGTTACTTATACATGCAGAAATTGAACAACTGCTCCTATGATTAGACCAAGATAGGAGAATTTCTGGCTACCTAAACACTCTTAACTAGAAAGGAAACGGTTCAAGAGTAGAACCAAAGTTTCCAACTGAATGTTTTGTAGGATAACTAACAGCTAAGGTATGGAATACTGCCCTCCATGAGGGGGCTAGATGGGATCCACCACCCAAGGCAACCAGCAACATCCTGGCCTATATCAAAAATAGTGCGGCCAGCAGGACTAAGGAAGTGCCCATCCCCTGTACTGGGCACTTGAGGATGCACCTCAAATCCTGTGTTCAGTTCTGGGCCCCTCACTACAAGAGAAACGCTGAGGTCCTGGAGCAGCTCCAGCAAAAGGCAACAGAGCTGGTGAAGGATCTGGAGCACAAGGAATGTTTGAGGAACCTGGGGTTGTTTAGTCTGGAGAGGAGAAGGCTCAGGGGGGACCTGATCACTTTCTACAACTACCTGAAAGGAGGCTGTAGTGAGGTGCAGGTCAGTCTCTTCCCCCAGGCAATAAGCTACAGGAGAGAAAATGGCCTCAAGCTGTGCTAGTGGAGATTTAGACTGGATATTAGGAAAAACTTCTTCTCTGAAATCAGAAGTCATTGGACCACACTGCCCAGGGAAGTGGTTGAGTCACCATCCCTGGAGGTATTTAAAAGATGTGCAGATGTGGCATTTAGAGACATGGTTTAGTGGTGGACTTGGCAGTTCCAGGTTAATGGCTGGACTCAATTTTAAAGGTCTTTTCCAACCTAAACAATTCTATGATTATGTTAGTGTACTAAGCTTAATTTATTCTTTTTATTGTTGCTATAGATGCAGATGTACCTGAGCTATTAACATGTATGAACAGATACTGCAGAAGATAAAAAAACTATAAACAAGCACTGGAGGAAGAACAGTACTTCGAAGAACTTCAAATTCATCAAAATGTAACTCTTTTCCTTCATTTAGAGATCCCAGAACATGACTTAACTGTTTAGAGCAAAATAAAAACCAGTATATGGTCCATATGAAAAGTACTGCTGTAGTACAAGATATACATACAATAAATAGGTATGAAAACCTACCTTATTTTGTGCAGCATCATTTGCATTTTCATGTTCCTCTTCCACTCTATCTTGTTTCAATGTTTTCAAAAATTCACTCTTCTTATCTGCCTGCATTCTCGTCAATTTCGTTAAACGAGGCTGACTAACTTTGTCAACAGGGGATGAAGAATTTGACCGATTATACTAATACAGGGAGTCAGAAAAAGAAAGAATGTTAGAAAATTTAGGTTCATTTAGAAAATTCTGAATGAAAGACAAAAAGACTCCCTGGTCCCTGCAGCTTCACATTTTACATATATCCACAGCCAAAAGCAGATGAAAGATACCTGTATTTCAGGATATGTAGTTCTTACATGTAAACCTAGAAACGCAGGTTTATGGAGCACTGCTAACAAACAGTGCGCCTTCTGAAGTGTTTCATACTATTAGCAGCTTTGAAGTTTAAAATCATCACGTTTGTCGTGGTTTAAGCCCGGCTCGTAACTCAGAATCATGCAGCTGCCCGCTCACACCCCCCCCTTCTTCCTCCCTCAGCTCCTGGAGGGATGGGGAGGAGAACCAAAAGAATGTAACTCCCACGGGTTGAGATAAGAACAGTCCAGTAACTAAAGTATAACACAAACCACTACTGCTGCCACCAATAATAATAACAATAAGCAAAATAGCAAGGGAAGAGAATACAAACACTCACCAGCGGACAGACATGAAGTCCCACCCAAGCAGTGATCTAACCCTTCCGGGCAACTGCCCCCAGTTTATATAGTGGGCATGACGTGCTGTGCTACAGAATACCCCTTTGGCTAGCTTGGGTCAGGTGTCCTGTCTCTGCTTCCTCCTGGCTTCCCTTACTCCCTGGCGGAGCATGAGACTCAGAAAGTCCTTGGTCAGAGTAAACATTACTGAGCCACAACTACAAACATTGGCGTTATCAGAATTGTTCCCAGGCTGAAAGGCAAAAACACAGCACTGCACCAGCTACTAAGCAGGACAAAAATGACTGCTATTGCTGAAGACAGGACATACGTCCTAACGCACCATTTTTACTCCAAATCAAACTTACAAAGCAAATTGTGCAGTACTTAAAGGCCAGTGATACACCTTCTGAAAAAAGTTATGAAATACAATTCTGCATAAAATCTATTGATCTCCTTATCTAACCAAATGAAACATTTTATAGATTTCATAAAAACTACAGGCATTGCTTTACCTCTTTCACTGAATTCTGTGATACAGTAAACCCCTTGGCAATTGATTTGATAGGACTGGAACTGCAAACACCATATGCAGATTCATGAGGAAATAGATTTCCAAGTTTATTTTCTTTTGCTTGGCTTTTCCACTGTGTAGGCTAAACAAAATTTAAACAGGAATTTAAAGAGTCATTAACTACAACAGGATTTATGAGCAACTTCACACTCACAAATACTGTTTAAATTTTATATAAAGACTAAAATTTAAAAACAATTAAGACCCTCATATCTGAACTATTAAGAATGAACGTATGTCTTCAACAGAAGAAAACTGTTTTTAATGTAGAATGTTAGAGAGTTAGGAACTACTCCATCATATAGAGATGTGTGCACATCTATGGGGGTATGATATAACAGGCATTGCAGAAACATGGTGGGATGGTTCCTATGACTGGAGTGTTGGAATGGAAGGTTACAGGCTCTTTAGAAAAGACAGGCCTGGCAGGCGGGGAGGGGGACTTGCCCTTTATGTTAGGGATAGGCTGGAGAGTATGGAACTGTCTGGGGACAGGTGAGCAGTTAACAGAGAGTTTGTGGGTCAGGGTTAAAGGGAATATAGCTATGGGAGACATTACTGTGGGGGTCTATTACAGACCACCTGATCAAGGAGAACCTGCGGATGAAGCACTCTATAGACAGACAGGAAAAGCCTCATGCTCGCAGGCCCTTGTTCTCATGGGTGACTTCAACCACCCTGACATCTGTTGGAAGGACGGTACGGCCCGGCACAAGCAATCCAGGAGGTTCCTCGATTGTGTGGAAGACAACTTCCTTCTGCAAGTAATAGAGGAGCCGACAAGGAGAGGTGCCATGCTTGACCTCGTGCTCACCAACAGGGAAGGGCTCGCTGGAAATGTGACTCTCCAAGGCAGCCTTGGATGCAGCGATCGTGAGATGGTCGAATTTGAGATCCTCAGGACAGTGAGAAGAGCGTGCAGCAAGCTCACTGCCCTGGACTTCAGGAGAGCAGACTTTGGCCTCTTCAGGAACCTGCTTAGTAAGGTTCCATGGGATATAGCCCTAGAGGGCAGGGGGACCCAAGACTCTTGGTTGATATTCAAGGATCACCTGCTACAAGCTCAGGAGTGCTGCATCCCAACTAGAAGGAAGTGCAGCAGGAGGGCCAGGAGACCTCCTTGGATGGATAAGGAGCTCCTGAGAAAAATTCAAATGAAAAAAGAGGCTTATAGAAACTGGAAGCAAGGACAGGAGGCCTGGGAAGAGTACAGGGATGTTGTCCAAGAAGGTAGGGACCAGGTTAGGAAAGCTAAGACCCAGTCAGAATTAAACTTGGCTACGGATGTTAAGGATAACAGGAAGGGGTTCTACAGGTACATATCAAATAAAAAACAGACTAGGGAGAATACAGGCCCCCTCAGAAAGCTCTCGGGAGAACTGGCTACACAGGATTTGGAGAAGGCTGATGTTCTGAATGACGTCTTTGCCTCAGTCTTCACTGGCAAAGGCTCTGCCCAAACTACCCAAGTATTGGAAGGCAGACACAGGGACTGTGAGAATGAAGACCTTGAGCCCACTGTAGGACAGGAACTGGTTCGAGACCATCTTAAAAATCTGAATGTGCACAAGTCCATGGGTCCTGATGAAATCCATCTGCGAGTCCTGAAGGAGCTGGCGAATGAAGTTGCTAAGCCACTGGCCACCATATTTGAGAAATCATGGCAGTCAGGTGAAGTTCCCGATGACTGGAAAAAGGGAAATATAACCCCCATTTTCAAGAAAGGGAAAATGGATGACCTGGGGAGTTACAGACCAGTCAGTCTCACCTCTGTGCCTGCCAAAATCTTGGGGCAGATTCTCCTGGAAGGCATGCTAAGGCACATGAAAAACAACAAGGTGCTTGGTGACAGCCAGCATGGCTTCACTAAGGGGAAATCCTGCCTGACCAATCTGGTGGCCTTCTGTGATGGGGCTACAGAACTGATGGACAGGGGTGGAGCAGTTGATGTCATCTACCTGGACTTGTGCAAAGCGTTCGACACTGTCCCACACGAAATCCTTGTCTCTAAATTGGAGCGACATCAATTTGATGGATGGACCACTCAGTGGATAAAGAACTGGCTGGATGGCCGCACGCAAAGAGTTGTGGTCCATGGCTCAAATGCCCGGCTGGAGACCAGTAACGAGTGGTGTCCCTCAGGGATCAGTGTTGGGACCGGTCTTGTTTAACATCTTTGTCGCTGACATGGACAGCGGGATTGAATGCGCCCTAAGCAAGTTTGCCGATGACACCAAGCTGTGTGGTTCAGTTGATATGCTGGAGGGAAGGAATGCCATCCAGAGGGACCTTGACATGCTTGTGAGGTGGGCTGATGCCAACCTCATGAAGTTTAACCATGCCAAGTGCAAGGTCCTACACCTGGGTCGGAGCAATCCCAGGCACAGCTACAGGTTGGGCAGAGAAGAGATTCAGAGCAGCCCTGCAGAGAAGGACTTGGGGGTGTTGGTCAATGAGAAAATGAACATGAGCAGGCAGCGTGCACTTGCAGCCCAGAAAGCCAACTGTATCCTGGGCTGCATCAAAAGGAGCATGACCAGCAGGTGGAAGGAGGTGATCCTGCCCCTTTACTCTGCTCTCGTGAGACCTCATCTGGAGTATTGTGTGCAGTTCTGGTGTCCTCAACATAAAAAGGACATGGAACTGTTGGAACAAGTCCAGAGGAGGGCCACGAGGATGATCAGGGGACTGGAGCACCTCTCATATGAAGATAGGTTGAGGAAGTTGGGGCTGTTCAGCCTGGAGAAGAGAAGGCTGCATGGAGACCTCATAGCAGCCTTCCAGTATCTGAAGGGGGCCTATAGGGATGCTGGGGAGGGACTCTTCATTAGGGACTGTAATGACAGGACAAGGGGTAACGGGTTAAAACTTAAACAGGGGAAGTTTAGATTGGATATAAGGAGGAAATTTTTTCCTGCTAGGGTGGTGAGGTACTGGAATAGGTTGCCCAAGGAGGTTGTGACTGCTCCATCCCTGGCAGAGTTCAAGACCAGGCTGGACGAGGCCTTGGGTGATATGTTTTAGTGTGAGGTGTCCCTGCCCATGTCAGGGGGGTTGGAACTAGATGATCTTAAGGTCCTTTCCAACCCTAACTATTCTATGACTCTTATGATTCTATACGCTCTCAGGAGCACAGAAAAATTCCTGAAACAATCTAAAGATGAACATGGAAAGTTGCATTTAGCAAGGGACCAGAATGACACTAACAGGTTGCAATATATCTATCAATAATTGGGATAAATTAAAATTCTGAAGATATTTTTATGCTGGCTATCTCTTTCCAGTAACTGTCTATTCTGTTAAAAATTGTATAAATGAAAGACATTGCTATTCCATAAATTAAAAACAGCCTTTTCGCTCTCACTTGTACAGCTTTTGCACTTCTCAAAAAAGGTAAATGAGAAACAAAGAAAGAGCAAAGTACAGTAAATTTTAAAAAGAGAAGTGACAAAAAGTTGTTTCCGTTCACTTTTAGGGTGTGCTGAACTTACCAAGAGCCAGAAGCATAGTACTCCGGAACAGTACTCTTAGGGTGAAATAAGCACATTCGGAACTAAAGAATCATTTGTTTCAGTATGCTGTTCATGTATCCATGAATGTATCCATATATCCAAGACTCACCTTTACAGCTGGAGTGACAGGCTTAGGGACTAATCCTTTGTAAACACTTGTGCCAGTTCCATTTTTTACTGGTTGTGAATGAAGATTTCCTACTACTGGGAATCCAGTTATCTGCACTTCTTTTGTAGTGCCCTTTTTAATGACCAGCATTCTCTGACATCTAGATTTAGGATTCAAAGGGTATTCTGGAAAAAAAAAAAAAAAAAATATATATATATATATATATGTTTGCATGTGTGTGCATGCTTCTGTATATGGTTTTAAATTTCTACTTCATTAGGTACTGTAGCCATATGGTCCAAAGGAAACAGACATAAATCAAGAACGTAGTCCAGTATTAGTTCCACAAATGACACACTCTGCAAACCAGGATAAAGGCAGATTCTGTTCCGTTTTCTACAACCAGCATTTCATAGAATCATAGAATAGTTAGGCTTGGAAAGGACCTTAAGATCATCTAGTTCCAACCCCCCTGCCGTAGGCAGGGACACCTTACGCTAAATCATACTTCTAAAATATTTTACTTAGCAAGGCTGCAATTTGACTTTCAGAAAGTAAAGATATTCTTCACAGTAGCCAGCTACACAGTTCTTGTTTGCAAATCTAAAATCCAAATACTACTATTTGTTGCTAGTTATACAGTATTTAAAAGAGATTATGGTTTTCATATTGCTCTTTAAGGTTACTACAAGAAACATTACTTAAATATTAACAGGTCAGTTTAGAGCCAAATGCTCCCCTCTGAGGCTCCATAAATGAGAGATAAGTATGTGCACTACTGTAGACGACAGTAATGACCAGTTTCTCTATCTCCACACCTCAGATAAATGAAACAGAACATGTGAAGCTTACATTTCCATGTTAAATGGAGCATTTTCCATAATACTTGCATGCTGCCATCACATATATACAATGTAAAATGAAATCTAATAGAAGCACACATTTTTAACAGGTATTAGAAGGGGATGTTAACATCTCTCCTGTCCTACTGCTGCCTTTAAAAGGGAATAGTAGCCTTAAGTTTTTCAATTACAAAACAAGATTTGCAATCGCAGAGCTGTAATATAGCAAGATACCAAGCTCTAAGACGTAACAAAGCACCGCACTGTAGCTTACAGGCTCGACTGTATGGTCCTTAAAGGTGCCTTTCGAAGTAAACCATTCTCTTTATTTTATTTAGCTAACAGAAATGTTCCTTCCTTTGCTTGTGAACAGTGAGATCCAAAAAGCTTGGAAAGCTTGCCCTCCTGCAGGTCAAGCTATGCCACATCATGCAGCAGCACAGCCAGAGTGCTGCAAAGGTTGCAAACCTCTCAAATTGGTCTGTAATTATTCCCAACTTGGTTAGGAAACAATTTAGTCATTGTCGCTCTTTTTTAAAGGGGTAACTGTCCTCCCCAGTTTTCACAAGAAAACTGCTAAACACACAGAACTGGAAATCAGTCCAATTTTCAGGCTTCAGAAAAAGTTCTTAGCAGTTAGATATTTATATTGAGGGGCTGATCTACACCTAGTACTATCTAAGAGTGCAAAACATACTGGAGAAGTATGAGAAAAAGAATCAGCAAACAAAAGTATCATTTAAGATCTCAGCATTGGCAACAGTTTAGGTAGTAGCTTTTTTGTTTAATTAAAGTTATTTCTTCCTAAAGAAAAAGCTGCTTATTTTCAGTAGGTTTATTACTTTAAAATCTGTGCAGTTTAAGCTGCCACCTTCTGAAGAATGAAAAATAAACTACATTAAGCCCACAGAATTGTAAAGTGGTAGCAAACTTAATCAAGTGAAATGAGAAGGCAATCCAGACTACACTTCAGTTCTCAGGACTGGATTTGTACAAGTAATTCATAAGCACAACCAACAGCTTAAGATACTTACTTTCAGGAAGTGACTTTAAATCTCTGCAAGCTAACATGCTTTTCCCAAACCTCCCAGGTTCCTCTCCAAACTCTTTCAACAGCTCTAATCGGTCATGAAGCATTCTTTCACAGTCTTCAACTACAATCACATCACTACTTTAGGTAACCCACCTTCACTGCATTTCCTCTTGAAAACAAAGTGAAGAAAAAACTCTTGACAGCTTTACAAAAAAAGATGTATACTTGTCCTGGGAAAGAATCCTAGCTGTGGCTGCATCTACACACCAACAGACTGATATCCAAATAGAACTGTTACCTCTAACATACTAAAAGATACTTACACTGTAATAATATAGATGTTTCCTCAAATTCAACCTATAGCTTTGTAATTTAAAGCTGTAACTTTATAATTTTAAGAAAAAAAAAATCCTGTTTCAAATAAAACAACTTCACATTTCCACTACATTTTTATATTTAAAAACATAAAAAATACTCACCCCATACACCTGCTGCAAAAGATTTATTCTGGTTTGGTTCCCTCTCATATTTAGGGTTCAAAGATGGCTGAAAGAAAGTTATCATTATTAAATAAGTACTGAATTCTGGGACCAATGAAATAAAGAATCACAATGATAACAGCAGTATGACCTCTGCTGTCAAAGATTTTTAAATGGAAACAGACTAGACACTTCTCCCTGTGATCCAAATAGGTCAGTGCTCACTTATTTCTCATCCCCAACAAAACATCTCAGGCAGCAGTCAATACCATTACATGAACTGCCTAGAGAAAGCAAAAAACAGTGATGTACTTCAAAGAGGAGGTTCATGTTCCTCTTACATTCTACAATTTTACATTGAAGCACGGCATCTCAAATAGCCCCTGGCAGAAACATCACTTTGTTAGTACTTCAGATTTCCAGTAAGGTAACTGTGTAGCATTTAATACATACACATACCACAGTAAAGTGGAACCCTACTGTAGTTTCACTTGAACACTTAAGTGACAATAAAAAGCATATGATAAAAGCTGGATATAAAAGGACGAACAAGTTAACGGACAAATGACTAGCACCCTCCCACCTATGGGTAGGGTGATCCCTTGTATGATGATCTGAAACTGGTTAAATCTCAAGAAACAGCTTGTAATGGACAAAATGGCACTTGCAGAAACAATGAAACCTTGTTTATTAAAATTAAAATTATAATTACAATTAACTTACAAAATCCTCAGGCTCAAACTGCTTGGGTACTCCTCTGTCTTCCTTTTTTCCAGTTTTGTTATCAGGTACATTGTTCTCATGCAGTCCCTGGCCTTTGCCACAGTGGAAAGCGCTGGTACAAGCCCGGGAACTTCCACCATAGTACCCTCCGTGATGGTTTAAATTTTCAGTAAAATTTCTGCCTTGTGAACGCCAACCAGTCTTCTCTTTTCTTCCAAAATAACCTTAGATTTTATAGAAATGTAATTACAAACAATTCAGAATAATATTCTACTCTTCCAAAATTATTAAAGAAGCTAAGTCAGCAGCTGTGTACTCTGGGATGAGATATTCTTATGAGCAGCAGGGAAAAATCTTACAAAACAGTTCCAGAGAAAGAAAACAGTAATTCAATTGCAAACCAAGTCATTCTCCTTGATGAGTGATAGCTGTTCGTTCACATACTGGTGGCTAGAGTATTAACTTGATACTTTTCTTCTTAAGAGAGAAATACACGTGGAAGCGCACTACTTTTAACCAGCCCTAGTCCTCACATCCTCCCCCAAAAGATCAGTCTTCCCATTACCTCTATTATACTACAGAATAATAATTTAGCATAGGAGAGCTATCACAGAATCACAGAATACCCGGTTGGAATCCATCTCAAGGATCATCTGGTCCAACCTTTCTCAGCAAAAGCACCGTTTAGATAAGACAGCCCAGCACCCCATCCAGTTGAATCTTAACAGTGTCCAACGCTGGGGAACCCACTACCTCCCTAGGAAGATTATTCCAGTGGCTGATTGTCCTCACTGTGAAAAAATTTCCTCCTGTCGAGTCAGAATCTTCTCAAGAGTATCTTGTACCCATTATCCCTTGTCTTTGCCATGTGACTCCTTGTAAAAAGGGAGTCTCCATCTTTTTTGCAGACACCCTTTAAATACTGGAATATGGTGGTAAGGTCTCCCCTGAGATTTCTTTTCTCAAGGCTGAACAAACCCACTTCTCTCAGTCTGTCCTCATAAGCCAGGCTTCCCAGTCCTTGGATCATCTCGGCGGCCCTTTGGATCCTCTCCAGCCTGTCCACATATGTTTTGTATAGCAGGGACCAAAACTGAACACAGTATTCCAGGTGTGACCGGACAAGTGCAGAGTAGAGTGGGATAATGTCATCTACCTCTGCTGGTGATCCCCTTGTTGATACAAACTAGCATCCTGTTGGTTTTCTTTGCCACAGCAGTACACTGTACGCTTACATTGCCCTTAACTGCCCATGAAGAACCTCAGGTCCCTTTCCACAGTGCTGTTCCCCAGACAGGTAAATCCCAGCCTGTGCTGCACCCCTGGATTGTGTTTACAGAGCTGCAAAATCTTATATTTGTCCTTGTACAACCTCATCATCAGATTTTTTTCTGTCTAAAGTTGCTACAAAGCAATATTAAGTATTCAAAAAGTTCCATGAAAACTAAATTATACCTCCACTAGCCCGTCCAACGTTAGGATCGAACCCATCTGAAGAGTTGTGTCTTCTGCGATTTGCTTCATAACGATTCTCTGTGCACGAAAAATTTTCAGAATGTTTCTCAAAATTCAGTGTTGACTGTAAAGGAGCACAAGCAGTAGACCTGAGACATCTGATTAATAACAAAACTGAACTATCAGAACCATAACATGCACATTACTCATAGTATACATGCAATTCATTTTTAAAATGACCTTTAATGACAGGCAGTGCAGCAGCCATAAGGGATACCTATGTTCAGAGCTATGTCAACATCTCCCACACCAGAAAGTGGAAGCTGTACCTTCTGCCCCAGGACACTGACACAGCGTCAAGGACCACGCTTCTGACACAAGGTAAAAAATCCAAGTGTCTGTTTTGTTTTGGCAGCAGGACAGAGCACAACTGATATGTGCTGCAGCAGAGAAAAAATAATAAAAAAAAAAAAAAAAAAAGGTAAGAAAGGAGAGCACATCACAGCTTGGAGAGCAGAAAAGAAGTCTGAGATCATAATTTTGGTCAGAGGCTACACATATGCGTTCCACAGAAAGCAAGAAGTCACTTCCACCCAAAAAAGGCCCAATTTATTAATCTTGTCATTATAACTTAATAAGGCACATGCAACTAGTTATGAAATACAAATAAAACCTAGAGTCAGCAGCATGCTGATCAAATTAAAGTATACAAGTATACTTCAAATTATCAGCTTGTAAGTAGGCATGGTAGAAATTTAAAGTATTTAATACATCGGTAGGAAGTACTTTGGAAACTTAAAAAACCTTATATTGAGAACAGCACTGACACATCCTGATTCAAACTCATACCTGAGAGGATTAAACCAAAAAAGACCATGTCTTATGGCAGCTGTGCTCCCTGCTACTTCTGGCTTTATTCCTTTAATACTGTAATGTATCTCTTTCCCTGTTCCATCTTAAAAATTCAAGAAAATATTTTCATTCTGCAAAAGCAGTGCTTAGTCTTACTGCTGTTCACACAACACATCTCCCAGTGAGTGACAGCGGAGGGCTGTGTTATCCGGCATCTCCCTGCCACGCAGCCAGCCTTCGGTGAACATGAAGCAAAGCCCCCTTCCTTCCAAGCAGACTCACCATGCACATGTATGTCAACATGCACACGGGATCAACACAATCCAGGGCATTAAGGGATACAAATGCATAAACACACAGCTTTGTGGAAATGTACTGTGTCAGCAAATTAAGCTTAATGAAGAAGTATGAACTTCACTGCACTCAAAGTATCAACTTCACTGCCTGAAGCTCACTCCCTTTCCAGACTAAATAACACTCAGGACAAAAAGTATAGCAGTAATGGTATATGCCTGAGAATATAAGCCCCAACTTTATTTCAACAGTTATTATCCATTAACATCTAATTGAGCTTTACTAATATCTGAAGTACTGCACTGATCACAGTGAGGGGGAAAGGGGAGTGAGGAAGGAAATCACATTAGTAAGTTGAATTACTTTGGGAAAAATATTCAGTCAAATTAAAAAAGATAGCCAAGTTCTACTGACAATGCCTGTCCTGGGTTCAGCAGTGGCAGTCATGTTTTTTTTTTCCTTTGTGGTAGCTGGTACAGTGCTGTGTTTTGACTTCCAGCCTGAGAACAGTGTTGGTGAAGTCGATGTTTTCAGTTGTTGCTAAGTGATGTTTACCCTGACCAAGGACTTTGTGAGGCTCATGCTCTGCCAGGGAGGGGAAGCCGGGAAGAAACACAGACGCGGGGCGCCTGACCCGAGCTAGCCAGGGAGGTATTCCATACCACAGCACGTCATGGCCGGGGTGGGGGGTGACTGGGAGTTACCCTGAAGGACACGGGCTTCCGGGTGGAACTCGTTTTCTTGGCCGGTGGTATCGTATTCTCTTCCCTTGTTATTTTCCCATATCATTGTTGTAGTTGATAGTAGCGGTGGTGATTTGTGTACACTGGTTGCTGGACTGTTCTTGTCTCAACCCGTGGGAGTTGCACTTTTTTTGATCCTCCTCCTTGTTCCTCAGGGAGCGGGGAAGGGGAGAACCCCGGGGGGGGGGGGGGACACGGACCTCGATTGTTGTCAGCTCGGCACCACTCTCTGGGAGTGAGTGAACAAGTTACCTGACTGGGTTTAAACCACGACAATGCCCTACCAGAGCTCAAGGTGCTATTCAAAATTCACTGCTCAAATGAGGGGCTGCCCTCTCAATTTGAGACCTGGGAAGCAAATTATTTCCTTGACAAACTTCAAGAGAGACAAAAAACAGAAAACCACAAGAAACTATCAAAAGATCTAAGTAGTTGAAAAATTATGACAATGAATCTCAAATATTTATGTAAAAAAAAAAGAAAAAAATCCTTATAATATGTTTTGAATAAGCTTTCCCAAAGTTTCAGAAAGCTCCAGATCTCTTGATCATGATGGCATTTTTGAAGATAACTTCATGTGTTTGTTTACATGCAACAACCTTCTAACACTGCCTTTGTAGTTCAGATATTTTTTATGAACTCTGAAGAACGATCAAATTTTCCCGAAGTATAACTGACAGCATTTTATACGTAGTGTTTGTGTTGCACAAGACATAACGAATCTGAAGTCTCTGCATTTTGCGCAAAGACAGTGCAGTTTGCACTTTCCCCACACGGTGGAGGTATTAGCCTAACAAGCCTCTTGTGGCAGAGATTACCATACACTTTGTCACCAACAGGAACCCAACCTACTGGCAGTTTCTGGAAGTTGAGAAATTATCTAGTTTCAGTCAGACAAGGAAGTAAACAAGCAACACACATTCCTGAAATATAAAAAAGTAGTCTTCTTATTGCTGAACATATAGTAGAAGTTTGCAAAAAACGAGTTTACCAGTCCATCTACAATCTTCCCATACATATCTTACAGCAGTCCTCTCTGAAAAGCTTTGTCTGTGTCCCACGGTGGTTTCACTATTCACAACACCTTCCCATTTACCTCTGCCCAACTGCAATACTGCACGGACACAAATAGTTCCAGACCTGAACAAAAGCTACTTAGCAATGGATACCCAGCTGTAAGTGGACTTTGTTATGTAAGTGTTGGGGAGATGACATTATAAAAGCTTATCCTTAAAAGGAAATCATTAGCAATAGGCGAGATGGATTTCAGTCAAGCTGTAATCTGTACCTGTCACATTAAGAAAGCTCATTCACAATCCCAGCTTCCTGGCATCACATTTTTTCTAATGCTAGCTTTTACCTATGTAAGGAAAAGCCCCAGCTATCCAGGATTGAGGGGGAAACCAAACTCCTAAAGATGCAATTTCTCTAAGTGCCTCTTCAGAGAAATAAAAACTGACAGAGCAGTTTCATTTCTCAAGTCTGAACATCACTGATACCACAGCCTCACCCCAGCTCCATTCTGCATGAAACATGAAACACCTTGCCTTCCTCACCCCATTTTTCCTCTTCATCTCCATCCCTATTATCTGTTCTTCAGATGCTTTGTTGATATGTATGGGAAATAGAAATAAACATCTGTTTTAGGAAATGGAGAGGAGAAGGGGCCACAATATTTAAGACCTGTCTGGTAGAGGAATGACAGGAAATGCTTTATTCTGTAAACTAAGAGTGGCTACACAATGGGTAGGACCAAAAGACAGCAAGCATTTAATAGCCAAACATGCTGCGTACCACAGAATGCTGGTCACTAAGTAAGGCAGTGACACAGGCAAATAAGCTGCATTTCAAACAGGTGAAGTACAAAGAATATAATGGAGAAAGCATAAAACTCGAGATTTTGGAAGAGGTTAAAGAAAATCTATCTGAATTTCTTGAGCTGAAGTGTCATGGAAAAGGATACACAACATATGCTTTCAATGGTATTTCACACAATTCAGGAATGAGGTGTCAAATACAACCCATAACTCAGATACAGTTGAGAGGTACTGGAGTAGCTCTGGAACTTTTATCCGGCTGTATTTACACTTTAAGCATGCAGGTTACGCTTTTCCAGCAGACTCTTAAGATACATGGTGAAGATTGCTTTGTAACTGTGACACCATATTTAACTAAGCTCTGATTACTTTTCCAGTTGAAAATGTATTAAGTTGTAAAAAGCCAACCACAATAGCTGAACATATCAGAAATCAAGTGGAACAAAAACAGATCACAGGAACCAATTGTAACGAGATGGGCTCAATATTCCCAGAACAGCAACTGGGTTGCTGACAGACTACAGGAAAGCTGCAAGAAGCTAACTAGGTCAGTGTAGAAGAAATGTAAGTAGAGCAATATGAATAAGGACATTCAACGACCTGACTAAAGAAAATGCACACACGTACGCACATGTGTGTAGACATACGTAAGCAAAGCAATGGGATCATAAGTAATACTGATAGCTAACTGAAGTAACACAGCTAACTGTGCAATTAACAATAGCACAAGAAGCCTATTTCTGTAAATTTATAAAAGCTGAACTTTTCCCATGAACATGAAAGACAGAAAGAAACTTGTATGAATACATTAAAGTAAGGCAACGCCACCTTCATAGCTGCAGGTATGGATATTAGATTCAAAAGATTACAATGAAAAAAGGTCTACAAACAAGGAAATAGATGACAGTTTGAATATCCAGTGCTGCCTTCTCCTTCTGCATTCACACAAATTAAGAAAGATCAGGATAGGCCAGAAAAAAAAAAACATTTATGAGATAAGATATACTGATGACATCCTAGAATATTTACAAATCCTAAAGATTCAGAGATTGCTATTTCCTCTTTCCAAACTAACTGTCCCATTGTATAACGAAACAGTAATCTAGATGAAACAACCGGAGTGAAGATACATAACTAGTTTTAAGCTCTACACTCCACCTGCAGTAAGAAGCATCCCACCAGCAAATGAGAAGCCATTTCAGAAGGTCATGGTCTATTTCAAAAGCTGGTTTTTTAGTCACTTAGATGACAGGATAACACATCTGTAAAACTTTAGGACACAGAGCAAAATCAGAAGCAAGAACATCAAGCACATGTCTCTGCCTTGGTACTTCTAGCACAAAATAATTAATTTTAAAGTCCTAATGAAGGCAATCTTAATTCAGTAACAGCTTTGATAATACAGCCAGGCACACAGTTCTTTCCATTCAGCTGCTCAAGCAAAAATCTCTGAGTATGAGCTTTACAATCACAGCACAGCTACTTAAATCCCAACAAGAAGACTTGCCAAGTAATATCTGTTGTCATCCTATTCACAAGGAAATTTGCATTTTTCACTATGATTGAGGTTATGACACTTAGACCTCTCTAATAATGAGAGTGCCTCTTGAAAAGAGCAATGGAGAACATACCTTTGTTGATGATGGTGGAGTAGGAAAATTAAGCCAGGCTGGAGCAAAGTCATGCTGCGCCATTTAGGTCCAGTCTCTTCGAATCAATGAAACAAGGCTTCAACACCTCATGGCAAGTTCCTGTAGTTGTACAAACAAGAAATAAATACTCTTCAGATGCTTATGTTACAAAAGGATTACACTTGTGGTGTTTCAATTATTATTTCTGTTCTGCTTTCTGTTACGATTTTCTCACACAGATCTGGTTTAGAATCTAAGTATCCTCATCTCATTTATTGCACCACATTTGTGCTTTTACTACCAAAGTGTCACACTAATGAAATATATCATAGGTATCATGAAAATACAGCTGTAACATTTAATCCTTTATTTCCTCTTATAAATGGAATGAAACGTCTTGTGTAAGGTCTGATCCAGAAAACTGTGGCAGAACTACCTTGTTGAAATACTTTCTGGTACTATCTAGAATGGATTTCAGGAGGTATTTAATCAGTTTACTAGAAGAAGCTGATGTAACTAGCCCCTGAAAGTTAGTCTTAAAGGCTATATTAAGTTTCCTTATGAAAAAAATAGATGCTCAGGGCCACCACAAATCCCGTATTATCTCTGGAATCAACAGAAACAGTCTATGTGTCAAAAAAACACTGTCAAATCCAGTAAAATTCTCTAGTTTGAAAATGGGCAAGAGGAAGCAATGACAAGATTAAAACATAAGAATACTTTTTCTACCCCACGCTTACCCCACAGGTAGGAAAACATCTCTCAATAAGCAAGAGAATGCAAGATAATATGAACTGTATTACCTGAAGCTGAGCTATAGCACAGAAAGGAAAGAAATGGATGAAACACTGCCTGCTGGAGACTGAAATATTGCCAATGACGCAAAAATATTTTAAGTATGATATACATACTACTTGAAATACAGCTAATAAAAACATAACGAACACCCACATGCATTTCATAGGGAAACCCAAATAAACACGTATTCCACACCTCTGCTCAAGAGTACATATCTGTTAAGTGAGAACTAACATAGTTCACTTTAAGGCTGCTGTAACGTATTAGCATGAGCTGTGTAATCTGAACTTGGTAACTCATAACTGTTGTATTCTGGCATGAACCAGGCTAATGCAGATTTCCAGTGACAGATGAGAATGTTCCAGCTTCTAAATGGAAGCCTAACACATCTGTAAGCATTAAACTGCATTTACTTGAGCTGCCAGTTCTTCTTTATGCTGTGAGCTCATACATAGGTTTTTTAGGTGTCTCTTAATACCAGAGTTAAACTGTAAGGTGAGATGTACAAAACAGACACAAGTGTAAAGGTATCTCACCCAAATAACATTTCAAATTATTCTTGTGAAATCATCCAACACTCTCTTCTAAATTAATCTCAACAAAAATTTCAGAGAAATTTTCTAAAGAATGCAACTGTGTCAGACTACTAAAACACAAATGAAGAAAAGATCTAGTCACAGAACCAACACAAAAAATGGCTTGTCTTTCTAACAGGAGCCCAGTTCACTTTCATCTTCAACAGTAGTATATAAACAGAAATGGGTGTGTGTTTACAGATGAATGAACACAAGAGATGCTACATTAAGAAACAGCAAATTAAATGTGAGCAGAATGCAACTCATAACTTTTTTCTCCTTCCCTCCGATACAGTCCTCCTATCCAAGCAGGAGAATCATGAAATCTTTAGAAAGGATCAAGACAGGTATTAACACTGGAAGATAAGCATAACAAGAACAGAATCTTCATTCCAAAGTACTTACAGTCTGAAAAACAAGGGGAGAGATTGGGTTTATACCAAATAAGAACAAAACGAAGGATATAAGTTCACCAAGTTATTGGTGAATTGGCCATTATGTACGAGACAAAAAAGGCACCAACAATGTTATTTCTTAATAAACTCAACTTACTGTTTTTAGAAAACTAGTCAAGCTTCCAAATATATCCACTGGTCATTACAGTCATTACTGTTTTTAGAAAACTATTCAAGCTTCCACTATATATCCAACTGCCATGAAGAGAGCTTATTCTTACTCATTAACACTCCTACCTTTTACCTTTTCCTTACAAATCACGGGCTCAGGCAAGATTTGGTGATCACCAAGCATCTGAGGACTGGAAAGTTGTTTTCAACTGAGCTTTGTCCACAGCCCACTGATATTGGGTGTATATTTCTTACTGCAAAAATTATTCTAGAAGCAGAGTCAAGTCTTTGTCATGTTCTCAGTTCTTCAGCTAAAAACTCTAGAAAAGGTTTTTAATGGTGCTGCTCTATCATGTGAGTCAATCCCTTTCCTACAACGCCATATAATGAAGTGGTAAAGACAGGGGCCTGGGGAAAAACTGCACAATACTCAGAGCATAAAGGCAGTAGCAGAATATCTGTAAATTTCAGTAAGGGCATAAAACAAAAAGTCTTTTAGGCCTAATTCTTCCAACTGATTATGATAAAAGAGCAGTGGTAATAAAAGCACAGATGTATTTTTAGAAATCTGACCAATTTCACAGGTCTACAGCTAAAGATTAGCAAAAAAAAACAACCATTGAGGATACTGATCTCCACACCACAGAAGTAAAAAAAAAACACTTTCTCCCATCTGATTGTACATATTATTGGTCTGGCAATTGGACATGGGAAAATCAACTATTTTCACTATTCAACCTTACTAATAAGGAGAAACACCCTAGCCACAATTAAGTTGGAAAACAGTCAGCAGATCAGGAAAGGACAAATAATAGCATTTTTTTAAAAACTCTTATCTTAGAGTACATAGCCCTCCCAGCTTTAAGTTGCCAGTTCCATGTTCCATACAAATGCTTACAGATGCTCCTTTCTCATGTTGCCAATGAGTTTGTCCTAGAATGTATTTTAATATAAAAACATTTTAATTACAAGCATGAGCTCTGTTTTGATGACTGACAGCTCTAAGATACTCTTCCTTCTCCGGAAGATATTCTTGGAAAATTGAAAACAGATCACAGAAAGTGAGAACAGGATGCCAGCAAGACTGCTCCACTGCCACAGGCAGGATTTACTATGCTTGAACACTTCATTATCAGCTTGGTTGCCAAATACCAGTTTGTTCCTTCCTTGCTTGCTTTCCAACATAAGTTAGACCAACAACTGAAACTACCACATTATTCTGCAACACGTCACCCCACTAGGAAGTTCCTTCTACCAGGTCTTTTTTCCTGCTATTTAGGTCCATTACCTAAGCTGCCCTCAGCAGTCAGAGACTTTCTGCATTCCGTGTCCACCAAAGCACTTGCAACCTCTATGCAGATTTGTACTATCTATAAATTTAATAAGCAACCACTCTATTTCATAACTGAAGTTATCAATAAAAATACTGGAGAGACTTCTCTAGGAATTTACTGATACATCCTTCTAGCTTGACAAGAGCTAGATCAAACAAGAGCTGCCTTTACAGAAATTGAGGACCCACTAAGGCAAAGAGGTAACACTGATCAGCAATTTACTTTGGAAGAGCATTTCTGCCTTTCAGAAACATAGAACTACTTCTAAATTAAAACCAAAAACATCTGAAGTACTTTAACAGAATTGTAGTCAGTATGCACTCACACAAGCATTTACAAGGAACTGCTTTAATTATAACAGATGTGAAGAACCCATTTGTCTGCTAGCGAATCTTCTTTTAGGTACACACCACACAAAGGATCAACTGCTATTCATTAACACTGATAAACCAGCTATGTACTCCCTGCATTAATAATGTTATCAGAAGAAAGCTTATCAAGATAAAAACCACAGATCCAAACATGATTCCATCCCTTTCAGAAACTCTCTTGGTAACAAAAGAGTAGGCCCAAAATTTAACACTGAATGTTTAAGTCATCATTCCCTACCAGCACAAACTCAAAATAGACCCACCATTATTTAACAAAAGTGTCATAAAAGCTAACTATCAGGTTGCCTATTACCGAAACAAGGCTGCACAATTCTAGAAAGGTAAGCAGTATTTTTTTCTCACATTTTAATAAAATTTGTGTAATTTCTTCCAGTAAAACTTACTAATAAAAAAAAAAACACCAAACTCTTTTCCCCCTCTATTTACAAAGTAGCTCTCATTCTTACACTGTCTGACCTAAACGAGGGACTTCTGCCACCACTACCAGCACTTACAGATGTCACCCTCCTTCACTGCTGAAAGGTAGGCAGACTGGCAATACATGGCAGCAGCTTCTAACAGGTAAGCGAAGTGTGAGAGCATTACCAGCTAAACATAGCACAGAACCCTACCATCTGTTAGTCCAGCACATCAAAAATGGGAATACAGTAATACAGTGCAGTCACGTATCAGACTCATTACAGCGTAACTGTAGAGTTACTACAGACAGAATAGGGTAGATTTATTAACTCAACTTTGCTGCAGTGCTAAGCCAGGAAGCAGTTGCGCTGCCAGAAGTTATGGAGCAAAAGAGTATGGCAAGGATACAGACTTTCACTTTTTAATTCCCCATGCCAGGCATATGTAAAATGCTGGAAACAATTACACCTGACAAAGCCTTAAAATAAACTTCAAAAGTCTCCAGCTCAAACACTTATAATCTAACCTGACTTCCTTCATATGCTAGAAAATCGTATTTCCTGCACTACTCCCGCTAACACAATGGAGCAACAGTCATTTCCTTTACACATGTCTTCAACCTAACCTTAAATGTATCAAGAAAGCAAAGGCTACTGAGCACTGGAATAAACTGGTTACACAAAAAAAAAAAAAAAGTAAGTGATCATTCCTACTCCTTTATAAAGATGATTGATCCTTTATCCAGAATTATTCTAGCTTCACTTCCGTTCATAAAATCTTTCCAGCAACAGAAACCCTCTCTCTACTTGTCTACTTCTACAATATGAAAATACAGCATCTCTGGAACTGCAAAATATTCTTAGAGCTGGGAAAGTGACTCTCATGAAAACACATCTCAAGAGTATCTCTGCACTGGCTACAAAGGTGGACATGAGAGCCCACAGTCACAGGGACAAAATATCTTCTGGGATATTGCAAGCGCAAAGAACAGAGCAAGCAGATATAATCAAAGCATTCTGAGTATTAGTTCCATGTTTTGCTTTCTATAAACAGGCC